GAAGAGCGTTTAGATCCTAAGGAAAAGACAGTTCAAAGCATGGAAAATAATTAAAAAGTATGGGGTTTTTTGGAGAGACGCCTAGAAACTGAATTACTGGAAAGGACATTAACATTTTAAAATTGTTTAACACCTGAAGAATATTATATCAACATAAATCACCACCAGCAGTGGAAAGTGCCTGTTTCTTTGCAGTCTTGACAACAAATATTTATGCTCATTGCAGCTTTACAGCAATAAGTAAATAAATAAAGCCTAAATATCCAACAGTCATGGAATGATTAAATTATGGTAAAGCTATGAAATGGAATTTTAAGCAGCCAGAAAAAAAGTATACTTTTGAAATATTTTAACAAGATAGGAAAAAGCTCACCAACATAACTGAAAAGGATGTAAAACTTCATGTATATAAAATTCCATTATTGTCATGAAAAAATGTACATGTAAATAGAAAAGCAGAAACACAAACCTATTAAGAAATATATTAAAATACTGAAGTGTTTATCACTGGCTTCTAGAAATACAGATTTTTGTTCCCTCCCTTATACTTTTCTCTGTTCCAAGGCTTTTAAAGTCAGTATACTTATTTAATCAGAAAAAATTAAAACTATCTTAAAAAGACTGAAAAAAAACCCCTAAATTTTTAACAGTGGCTAACAGTAGCTGAACTATGGTTGATTTTTATCTTCTTCTTTGTAATTTTCTTTATTTTCTATACTTTATTTTCTTTATATTTTATGTTCTAGCATGTGCAGTGAATTTAGTGGTTAAGAATGACTTTAGGTTCAAATCTTGGCTCTGCCATGTATTAGTTGTGTAAATGTAAGAATCTTTCTTAATTTCTTTAAGCTTTATTTTCCCGTTTATGATATGAGGAGAGGACTTTTTTGGTTTGGTTGCCTGGAATTTAAGAGCCAAATATGTGGTCCAATTTTATCAATAATATAGGACCTTAGGATCTGGAAAGCTGAGTATCTAGATCTTATACTTCTATCTCATTTCTATCTTCTCTGATTCTAATTTTTAAATTAATTTAAAAATATTTTTTAGAAGCTACCTGAAGTTACCTTTGGAAGTAGGCAGATAAATAAAACAAAATGAATGTCTTAGTATCTCCCACTGGTCTAAGTATCTCAAAGTGTGGCCCAGAGAATGCCTACACCAAAATCACCTACGGGTACTTGTTAGACGTAAATACTAGAAACACCCAATATCTGAGAATGGAGCCGAGGAATCTTTAAACAAACTCTCCAGGGAATTCTTATATTCACTAAAGTTTTAAGAGTCCCTGCACTAGACCATAAGCTTTTTGTATCACTATGCCTTGCATGTAGTATTTATTCAATAATGCTTGTTTACTGAATGGATTTATCGTACCACTTGAGGTATGAAGTAATGTATTTGGGAACTCTGAAAACCAAAACGTTCTATGAAATTGTAAGGCATGGCCAGCTGTCTTTTCATCTTTCATTTATGATGTCTTATCTTAATCAACTTCTTGGCAGCATTTGATACCGTTGACCACTCCCTCCTTGAAACACTTTCTTCTCCTATCTCAAGAGAAACACCATCTTCTCCTGGTTTTCTTCCTACCTCAATGGTCTCTCCTCTTCAGCCTCCTTTGCTGGCTCTTCCTCCTCTGCTGACTCTGACCTGAGCCCCCTCCTCTTCTCTAAGTGCCCTCATCCATGGAGGTATCTACATGCCAGATACAGATACTTCCATATCACTATTTCTAGCCTTGGCCTCTCCCTAGAACTCTGGATTTATATATCCAGCTGCTTATGTGACAGGCCTACATCTCCACATGGATGGCTAAAGGGCCTATCTGTTGTTTATATTCTCAAGCATGTTTTTTTCCCTGACCAGTATTAGAATTCCCTTGCAGAGTTTAGGGAATTTCGCATCATGCAAGTCTTGTGAGAGACTGCTTCTCATTTGAGAAATCTAAAAAGCTAGCTATCTGCTTCCCCAAGCACTCCTGGCAGCTAGCCCAGTGCCCTGGCTCAGTCAGTCAGATGCATCCACTGGGGACTCTGAAACAGTTAGCTAATTACATAAAGGAGCAGGGCAGTGAGGAATGAATTCTGAAGGTGCTAGTGGAAGGGATGTTAGGGATACACACTGCTGACTCCAACATCAGGAGCCACTAGCAGTGTCCTCCCCAGACTCGTTCTGCAGGATGATTCTGAGTTCCTGGTCTCCCGATGGAGAGCCCACTTCCCAAGTTTGGTAAACTTAACTTTCCTGGTGACTTTGTGAGTTATCAAATATTGTTTCAATAAGGAATTTCTCTGGTTAAATAAGCCATAGTTGGTTTCTATGGCTGGCATGCAACTAACTACTGCTTGTAGAACTCTAGTACAATGTTCAATAGGTATATAAAACACCCATCAGAACTTAAACCCTCACAGACCTGCTCTTCTCCCAGTTTTTTCCCATCTCAGTAACCTACCATTTATCCAACTGCTTAGTCCAAAAATCTAGGTTGTTATCTTTGATGTCTCTTTCTCTCTTATTCCTTTACACGTCATCTACCGGCAAATTCCATCAACTCTACCTCTAAAACACATCCTCAGTATATCCACTTCTCTCCATCAATTACTACTATTCTAGTCTAAGCCACATTATCTCCTCCTGAACTGGCCTCCTGGCCTCCTAACTGCTCTTCCTGCTTCTACTCTCGCCTCCCCTACCGTCTATTCTCTATATAGCAACATAAAATAGGTAAAAAGTACAAACTGGGCCGTGTCACTTTCTTGCCTAAAACCTTCAATAGCTTTAACCCTAGACTTAAAATAAAATCCAAGCTCCTTACTCTGATTTACAAAGGCCTATGTGGTCTGACTCTCGCCTATGTCTCAGATTTCATGTCATAACACTTTCCTGCCATGTGGTAGCCACACTGGACTTTTTTCTGTTTTTGAAGATACAAAGCTCTGGAGGGTCTCTCCATTGATCTTGGCATGGATGGCTCCTTCCTTCAGATCTCAGCTTAAATTCATTTGCTCAGAGATGTCTTGTCTGATGACCTAATCGAAAGTATCTACTCAGTCATTCTTTATCACTTCACATCCGTTTAATTCTCTGCACAGTACTTACTATCTGATATTTTCAGAGAGCAAGACTCTTGGTTTTTCACTCGGTTTTTCCTTTCAATTTACAAATCCATCACGTGTGTTGTTATTGTTATTAACAACATTCATTTACTCAAAATATTTTTGACAACATTATTAACAACAACAGAAACATGCGTTGCAGATGAGTAACTTCTGTTTAGCAGAGGTAAGTTGTCCAAAGTCACACGGGGAATCTGTGCTAGAACTAGAATTTAAATGCAAACCTACTGGCTCCACAGCCTGACCTCTGAAATGCTACCCTCCACCTACTCAAATCTTGATTTTCCACAAAGTCCCAGCTTATGTTATAACCCTCCATAAAGCCTTCCCTTACAATTTCAGCTAAAATCATATAGCACTGATGGTACATATCACATATCTTCTTGACTACCTCTATCGTCATAGCATTAGCATTCACGTTATCTGATTATAAGTGATCAGCAACTTAGGTTGCCCCTTCAGTAAAAGCGTCTCAGAGATTGTTCTACTATACTGATCATTGTGCTACTAGTTTAATATTATTAAAAGACTAGTAATTTCATGAGGCCAAAGCAGTAGTATGAATTGGCTTCTTTTTCTACTATTTCCCCATAGACATGTTCTAATTGTGCCTTTAGTTGGCCACCAAATGCCTGAGATTTCTATGCTCTTCTCGTTGCTGTTAATTCATTCTTTCCAGTTGTGACCATCTCTGTCCTCCTGGACCCTGCAATTACTTCTCAGTTTCTACTCCTTCATCCGCCATAGCTACTTCTCAATGGTGATTTTTACTTTAGAGGAGGAATGGGCAAACTATGGCTTGCAGGTCAAATCAAACCTGCCACTTATTTTTATAAATAAAGTTTTATTAGAAAACAGCCATGCTTGTTTCTTTATGTATTACTATGGCTGCTTTTGTACTATCATGGCAGAGTTGAATAGTTGCAACAGAGACCATGTGACCTGCAAAGCCTAAAATAATTACCGTCTAGCCCTTTACAGAAAGCATTTGCCAGACCATAGCTCAGAGGAAGCAAAACTGAAACCCAGAGATGCAAAGTGACTTGTCCAAGATCCCACAGCTGGTAAGTGGCAGAGGCAGAACTACACTCATTCATTTACATGGATTTTAATTTACAGATTCTAAAGTCATGGTACCACACAGTTTTTCTTTGCATCTTTGTAGGTTTCCTTGAGACTTTAGTAGTCTTACACAAGCTAACAGATAGATAGCTTAATTTTCAAAAGCAATCATCAGAAAAGCAGAGTATAACTAATCCAAAATACCAAGTGGCACCAATCTTGGGTAATCTGCAGGTGAAATCAGAGTCCTGCAGAACACTGGAAGTTTTCTTGGTGGAGACAAAGCCAATAACATTGGTTTTGTTTTTGAGCCCCCAAACCACTGCCAAATGGAATCTAAACAAGAGTCCAACTCAGTTACATATAGGAGCCAGGCAGGTAATAGAAGTGAAAAAATCAGTCTAATATTATGACATAGCAGGGAGTGATAAAGGCCTTGGTACAGAATTAAAAACAATAAAACCAACCAAACATAGCTGCAGGCAAGAGCAGGACTTGGCATCAGGCCACCAGTTTCTGTCCCTGGACTATGTCATCAATTCTTATAAATCTTCAAAAGCCAAAATGTAAAATCCTAATCTTCAAATAACAAAAACAAACAAACAAAAAAAACCCCAAACCAACTGATTTGTTCTTTTATTAAAGTTTTAAGAATAAACTAATCAAATAAAACAAATCACTCCAATAAAATCTTCTTACCCCAGAGAGCCTTACCTTGAACAACATACACCTTAGTCAAAGGGAAGTCAATACTCTTTGCCATGATTTCAATTTCTTGTTTAAGCTTTCCCTCAGGAAGAGGTGTGAATTTGTCAAATAAAGGGGCAATGTAATCAGCATAGATGGTGACAAGCACCTGAAACGCAAATATGAGAACAACCTATGAATATGTCCTTAAAGAGAAACTACTCACTATACAGATTCAATATTAAAACTATGTGATCCCAGCCCTGAGAACAGGGACCTTATCTTATTTGCTCTGGTATTCCCAGCCTGAAATAGTACCAGTACAGCATTCAATATCTGTTTGATGAATTAAATCAAAATGAATAGTCTCTATATGGTAATAACTGAAAAGCCAAATGGTCCATTCAAAACTATCTTGGGGATTTCTGACACTTCATGAGCCCATCATAACTTGGAATTCTGTCTTTCAAGGTAATCGTAATAGACTTGAAGTGTTTGCTAAAAAGAGAACTACTGGAGCTTGACTGTGTGCTATTATTTGGTTTGCCTGCTAATATTACTGACCTGCAGTTCATAACTATACACACTGGTTGAAACAGTACTTCCTTAAGCATTTCGGGGGCATTTCCTCTGCTCTCTCTCCTGTCACTTCAGTTTGCCATACAACATATATTTGTAGCACCCATTTTCCAGTCATGATCCCACCAGCAGGAGGTGAAGCAATGAGCATCATGGTAGTTCAGACTAAAAGAAACCTCACCATCAGTGCAGCTGAAGAGCTGATAGGACGCATTTTCTGGGGGCTGTTAACAGGCCATTTTGATTGTGTTGTAGTGTTTGTGCTGTGAAGCAGTTTGGAATATCGGAAAGAGAAGAGGAAAAGAAGATGTGAAGAAGGGACAAGGGGGAAGCGGAGAGAGGAAAAAGGAGGGAGAAGGAAGAGAGGGAAGAAGGGGGGGCTGTGGGGGGAAAAGGGAAGAGGCAGGGCGAGGGGGAGGGGCAGGAGGAGGGGGCAAGGGACAGAGAAGAAGGGGTAAAGGGCAAAGGGGAGAGGAGGAAGGGAAAGGCAGGGGAAGGAAGGCAGGAGAAAGCAGACAACGTTTATGATTTCTTTTGCTTATCCCGCTTACATCTATTCTCTCTCCAAAATATCCGTGGCTTTTAGACACTGGAGCTCAGTCAAGAGTCATCAAATTGTCAAACTTAGTCATCACTCTGGTGGCAACTCACAAATGCACAGCCCCAAACTGCTTGACAACTGGATCATTAAAGGTAACTAACAACTAGCTTCTAGAATCTATAAGAGCCAGTATAAGAAGAAAATCTATGGTCAGAGTCAACTCTCCCATTTCTATAGCTGAAAGCAGAAAACAGAAGGGGAATTTATATGAGCACCTATTTATATTTCTTCTGCTTCTTAAGAACCATTTAGATGCTAATGAAGATTAAATGACAGTTATCTCACCAAGGAATATTTTGTAAAAGAAAATCAAAACAAAGATTTCACTTACCAGAGACACAACTAGTGTGAACAGCCAGGCATAAATAAAAAAATAGTCTCCCCCAATTTTAATAATGTAAAGTAGAAGTGAAGACACAGGTAATAAAATGCACTGAGTCACAATAAATTTCTTGATTGCATCTTTCATGAAGAACCCCAAAGTCTGAAAACATAAAAGGTCATCATGAGAAACTAAGAAACTGCTTTTAAAATAACAAATAAGTGAATAGAAAGGATACATTATTAAAGCAATTTTAAAAATTAAAAGGCAGTGAGACTACATGACAACAGGTAGCCTAAGAAAATAAGTCAATGTCTTGCATTTTATAGTTTAAAATAAACTCATTTAAATGTTATTAGCTGAAAAACCACTAGACATTAGTGCTAGAAGAGTTTATGGCAAGACCTTAAACTATGATCTTTACCATATCTTCAGTTCCTTTTCCCTCGATTAATTCATGCTCTAAAATAGCAAATTATGTTTTAATTATTCCCAGCAGAGGACAAAAGCACAAAAGAGAACATTTGCATTCTCTATTTTACCTGCTGATTGAAACCATGTTTTTCTTCTATCACAAAAGTATTATAAAGACTCCACGGCAAACCAGTCAATGCACTGAAAAGTGTAGCCAACAGCAGAAACACCAAGGACTGAGTGATCTAAACACAAGAAAAAAAGAGGCAGTTTTTTAATATTAATTCGTTCTTCAAATGAAATATTAGGGAACCAATCAACGAGTATTTGCTGAGTACTTACTATAACTCAAGCAATGTGCTTGATTCTACGGGCCTGAAACATCACTGCTACCCTCAGAGTTTATTTGCAAGACAGGGAGGCACTAAAACACTTCCTCTTTTATTACACGGGTACCATATGAAAGTTAATTGAAGTCATAGAGACAAAATGGTTAAAAGAACTTAAATTCAGCCACATATGCTGGTGAATTCAAGAAACGCTTACAACGCTGATGAGAAATGGAATGCTACTCTGAAGAAAGAGACAAATTAGTGGGACAGAAGAGGCAAGGAGGAATTCCACACAATTTGCAAAAGCAGGGCTTCCCTGGTGGCGCAGTGCTTGAGAGTCCGCCTGCCGATGCAGGAGACGCGGGTTCGTGCCCCGTTTCGGGAAGATCCCACATGCCGCGGAGCGGCTGGGCCCGTGAGCCATGGCCGCTGAGCCTGCGCGTCCGGAGCCTGT